GGTAATATTGGCACACGAAATAATAGCTCAAGTAATAATGGCACAGGAAATAATGGCACAGGAAATAATGGCTCAGCAGCAATGGCACAGGAGATAATGGCTCAAGTAATAATGACACAGGAAATAATGGCTCAGGTAATAATGGCACAGGAAATAATGGCTCAAGTAATACTGGCACAGGAAATAATGGCTAAAGTTATAATGACACAAGATATAATGGCTCAGGTAATAATGGCACAGGAAATAATGGCTCAAGTAATAATGACACAGGAAATAATGGCTCAAGTAATATTGTACAGGAAATAATGGCTCAAGTTATAATGACACAAGAAATAATGGCTCAAGTAATAATGACACAGAAAATAATGGCTCAAGTAATATTGGCACAGGAAATAATGGCTCAAGTAATAATGACACAGGAAATAATGGCTCAAGTTATAATGACACAGGAAATAATGGCTCAGGTAATAATGGCACGGGAAATAATGGCGCATGTTTAAATGGCACAGGAAATAATGGTGGGAATGGTCTAGTGGCAATGAAAGCACACCGTCTTGTGCAGTTTGTTTTATGACGATTCTCTCCGCTGGGATTGCCCTTAAAATCACTTGTGTGTGTGTGTGATTTCCAGTGTCTTCACTTATTAGTTCTTCTGTGATTTTTTTGGCTTTGCAGATTTCGCTCAAACTTGGCAGGTAGGTTACACCTTCACCCTAGTTAGTAGGTAAAATGTGAAAAATTTCTGGTCCACCGTTGCCATAGCCATAGCCACTGATTTTTCAAATAGCTTCGTGCCAACTATATCTCCTCGTACAATTCTAGGATTAAATACCTCGGACATAGCTCATTCTACTCAGCTTGAGTGTGGGCACAAAGTTAACTCTTCTGTGATTTTTTTGGCTTGGTCGATATTGTTCATACTTGGCAGGCAGGTCATAGCGTCACTAATCGGAAAAAAATCCTGGGCCACTACTGCCATGGCAACAACCAAAAAACTGATTTTTGAATATTTTCGGCCTAAATGTATTACCTCCTACCAGTCTAATCTTGCAATAGCAGTGTTCGAATGATCGTGCTTTTTATTTTGGCTAAGTGGCGCACAGACTGAGAGATCAACCGCGCAACGTAATCTGAACGCAACTTCGAACTTTAAATGAACTGTAAATGCTACGTTCGAACAAAAAAATCTAGAAAATACAATGGCAAACCGGTCGGAAATAATACTTATAACAGCAGAATTCGTGCTAGTGATAAAGTAAAGTGACTTCAAAAGACTGAATGTTTTTTTGCGAACTTCGTATACGGGGCTCGGTTTTAGTTGTAAACCGACGTTAGCTTCACGTTTATGTCCTACCATGGCAACAGCCGAAAACATGTTTTTTTTTTTTTTAGCGGAGCGGATCGCCAACCAGCCTACCGGCTTGTTACAAGTTAATAAATGTAAATATGCCGTATAGTGTATGTTATCGGAAGTTTTGTAATCTACTGTTGGTAACGTTTATTAGAGATGTGTTTAACTACACCGTTATTGTTAAAATGCAATAGTCTTTGATTTTATTTGCAGCCTTGGTGAGATTTATTAAAAAGTGTCTGAAATACAACAGTGTCAGTCATTTCCAACTACACCATGATTTCTAAAAGGGAACACAGGTTTTGTTTTTATTTGTGGGATCATATTTTGACAACGGACAGTAAGGGAAACACCATAGCGTAAATTACAAACAAACAAACACAAACATTCAGTTCTTGAAATACGATAAATTTGACCTCCAATAGAGGCGCACATTTGCCAATTACGTAAGCACATGCGCTTCTACTAGAAGGGAATACGGTATTATATCTTATTTCAGGCACTGAAGGCACATACGAAGACCAGAATTACAATGATTGCATACTAACAGAACACTATATAATTGCACCTAAACTTTATTACAAAATCTGAGTTATTTTTATATTCAGTTTATAGTTTTTTGTTGGTATTTCATTTTATTTTATATATATTTCCGTTACTAACTTCATTTTAGTCTGTTTTGGGTTGTTTTTTAAATTATTAGTCATTGTAATTTGATTAATTTTTACCTGTAATTTTCTTTTGTAACCTTTAACCTACACGCATACACACACACACTGCAAAGACTCCCATTTTGTGCTTCGCACATGGGAGTCAAAAACTTGGCAAAACAAGTAGGTGTCAATTATGAAAAACTTTACAATATCAAAACTTCAACTAAAATTATCCTTTAGTACTACACCATGTCACCACATTAGTTTTCAATTTGACCTTTAGAGCTTCAACAGGCACACATGTGGAACTATTTCTAAGTTCATTAAAGTTGTGATGCAGTTGCATTTTGCTCAAATTTAATCTTTGTTCCCAAAACGTGTATACTGTACCACACAATTTTTACTAGCATTTTCCATTTTGTGTTTGAAAATTTCAATATGAAATAAACTTGCACATTTCTATACAGTTTGTCAACTTAAATCAAAGTAAATTCTCATTTAAATCTGTACTCGTCATACAAAATAAGAATCAAATCACGTTTTCTTAATTTAAACATGCACATGTATGCATGCATGCATTGTGGTAATTCTTTTGCATGGCAGGGTGCTCGCACATTTGAGACCTTTTGAATAAACTGAGTTTGTATGAAAGCAAAAACAAAATTCATTTTTCAAGCATCATATGTTAACATTGCTTTAATAATCCACCTAGTACACAGTGACATTTTTAGTCAACAGTAATATACAATATGTTAAGTTCATGTACTACTGGAAGCCTGTCAAAATAATGGAAAACAGAGTCCTTGTCCTTTTTAAAAACTATCACCAAGTCATGGATATTGTTATTTTAAAATGAAATTTTACAAGACAGACTTCATTCCATTTCATTATAATAATTTAGATGTGAAAATAAGATCCGCCCGGTGGTGGTAGATGAAGCAGCAATTGCACTACACTGCACTGGTGTCCATATATTCAAAGTTTGGCACAGTACTTGATTCACTGATGAAAGCAAGAATAAAAGACAAGTTAACAAAAAACAAAAGCAGTTGTGTAAATGTATGTAGTAGTCTGTCAAGATGGCAACAGGAAATTAACATCTTGAAAAGGGTGTACTACAAATTACTATTGCATCTCATTGCAACTAACAAAGCAATTAAGCAATACTTTGACAGCAATTATTTTGAGAAGCATGCAATCGTATACATAAGAAATGTCTATGATGCAATCGTGGTTGGTGATAAATTAGAACAATCTTACAAGACTGTCTATCATCATGTCACACATTTAAAATTTCTATAATGAAGTCCTGTTACTACAGCCTTACATAGTGTATGAACACCAATGCAGTTCATCAGCTAGCAATATTGCTTTCAGACAAGCATCACCATTCTACGAGTTCTTTTCATCTGCGGAGACTAATGCGTTGTGGGAGACACCATTATTTTGAGGTGTAAAACAACTTCATCCTTTTAAAAATCTTGCAACAAACAGTTTCCAGTTATGGGCCAACAAAATATTGATTAGGTAGATAAGGTTTTTATTTTAGTCGTTTTCCAACTGACTAACTTATAACAGGTTATGTCTATCACAATCATGCATTAAGAAAGAATAGCCACCAATTGCAAGTTAGTCATTTTTTTGAATATTCCAACAGTGGTGTTCTTTTCATTAACTACATCGCAGGAAGATTTTTTTTAAAAATTCATAAAGAAACCAGAATTTGTTCAGTTTAAAGGATGAGCCAATTTAACAGTGATTGCATATTATTACTTACATATTTTTCTTGCTCGAGTCCATCTTTGAAGTATATGAAGTATGGTGTAACACCATCCTCTCTATAATTTAACAGTGGTAACATTCCATCATGGTTCATATTCTCTCCCATATATATATCAAAATCTTTATACTGTTCAAGAATTGTTTTGATAAACTTTTGCATTCCTTTCATGAATGGATCCACTCTTTCAGGATTACTTTTAGCTAGTCTGGTTTTTATTCTGAAATGAGAAAAAAGAAGTTTTTCAGTGTGATGTGCCACAAGGAGTTCTGTAATGCACTAAGAATTGTTAAATCACATTGCACTAATGTAAACAAAATAAACAATTTAAATGTGATGCATGTCAAATAACACAGGAAAATATTAAGTAGAACAAATTCTGTCCATGCATGTACATGTAAGGAGTGTTCAAATTGGTTATGTCAGACACATCAGCTTGCTTCCATACTTACTCTTTTGCATATCCACTAATGTAAGATTTGTATTCCTTCTTGGTATACTTGGGATCCATTTTTTGCAGATGATGAATACGGACAATATCTATTTCTGTGACTGCGCTGTCAGCTACCTCATCACCACCACCTTCTGCTGATGCATTGGCACCAATTTTACTTTCATCAATGCCAGTATTTTCAGTGAGAGACTATATACAAGAGAAGTCAAGAAGTGTTAACCAACACTACTGATGCCAAATCAATGCTGATTATAGAAAACAGCTATTATGACAAACCATTGTTACATCTGAATGTGGTAATAATAAACGACATGTAGCATGAATGATAAAGTATGTGCATTTTTACAACTCTACAGCAATTTATTTGATCAACATACATGTATGTATGTATGTATGTAGTAGTCTGTCAAAATGGCAACTGGAAATGCACATCTTGAAAAGGGTGTACTACAAATTACTATGGCATCTCATTGCAACTAACAAAGAAATAAAGTATGTACTTTGACAGCTATTAGGAGAGATGCAAACCACGTCATTGACATTAGAATTATAGTGTTACTTACTGCACCGTCAACTTCATAGTACAGGTCATCTATTAACTTCATTGTGTAAGAGTCACTGAACATCTCATCTCCTGTGTCAAAAGATGCAACAAAATAACTTTTAATTCAATTGTAATGTTTATTACAACGAGAACTACAAATTTATATTGACCAAGTAATAATGTCCTTGTTCAACTTGAAAAAAATTGAAGTCAGAGTTGCGCATGGTTCAGTCATCTAAATAATACGGTTAGGGGATCACCCCAATCACAGTTCTGCAGGAGTTGTAGGATTTATAGTTACAGCAATTGCATTGATTTTGAATCTGGTTCAATCAGGGTAACAATTATCTACTCTGCGGTCAAAATCTCTAATATGGAAAACAGCTCCCCTGAGAAGCCTACTGAATACAGCCATCTTTAATTTGGAAATTTAACAAAATATGAACAGTCACATCGACACGAAAACATTATGGATTAATAAGTTGCATGAATTCCAATGCAAATTAGTGAATCTGTGAAAGAAGTACCATTAATGCTCATCTCATTTCTAAGCATCCATTGCGTTCTGTTATGCCATTGGTTAGAAACATGTTCAATTGACACAGGTGGAATGAATACTAGGAATGCCTTCAAATACAAACAAACTAAGAGTGCACTTCGAGAGATCATTGTATATTTATTGACGAGAGACATTTGATTTGATACAAAATTTAGTATGAAGAAAAATGTACAATAAATCAATGGTCGATAAAGACTTCCTAAGCCCCCCCCCCCCTCACCAAATCGTAGCTTTGCACCTCCAATGACTCTCCCCAGTTTTAATTGTATATTGTGTCCTCTTTCGGACAGTTATCTGGAGGGGTATATACAATTACATTAACGGGCTGGATTGTTTGGGTTGAGGCCTTGAGGACCCCCCCCCCCCCCAAAAAAAAAAAAACGTGGACAATGCGAGATCGAAATTTGCAGGGACACAAAAAGTTGGACATGTCCCACGTTCACCAACGAGTTTTGTTAGGTTGTACACAAGCACGTTTCGTAAAATATTTTGAGTACAAATGTACGTAAACACAGTTTGCTTTCAATTTGATATGAATACAATTGTCAAGCCTGGCAGTTATATCTTTTAATATTTACAGAATGTCACGACATTTTATTATCCGATCACGTACGCTCACTCGACACATAGGCATTGAACATAGACGGCGGTAGCCATTGGTCACAACACCGAACTGGTGGCATCCAAGACATTTTTTCATTAATCACCAAATTTACCCATCGATAGTTCAAAATGAAATAAAATACTACTTTCGTTTATATAATAAAGACATGGACAACACAACTTACCAGAGATAATATCCTTAAAAATGATCATTTTGAAAGGATTCTCTCGGATTCAACCGGCAAAGACTACTTCAACGGAAGTGGCGGACACGGAAAGGACCGAGGTTTTTCTGCGATGTTGCAATGTCCTCTCCGAACACACCCGAATATGACGTCACTTCGGAATTACCAAAGAGGGCGCTACAAACGACGCTCATTCCTCATTGTAGGTCTTACTCCACAATGGCTGGCGAAGATGCGATGAGGCTACCTAACTTGCACTCTTTGGCTAACATTGACGACTGAAAAAAGTATTAACTCCATGGCCCCAGAAACGTGGTTTGACTACAACTAAATCTTATCATTCCCTTGACTTTTACCGTATCGCTTTTGCTCGCAATATCCAGGCAAAAAACATAAGATAACCAAACGTTTTGTTGTTTTTTTTGCATGAAAAATGTGTCAATGGTTCCATTGGTTCTTGTGTCAAAAATCTGTTGTCATAAGATAGCTACTTGAGCTGGTCTCAAGTTATTGAGAAATGCTGAAAAATACTACATGTACTAGTATTTATTTACTAGTATTAATATAGTATTAATACTACTAGTATTTATTTTTTATTAGTGTTTTAATATGAATTTGTACAATACAAAATAGCAAATTTTTTTTCATGTTTTACTCAATTTTACTCTTGAAAACTCATTTTGTATGGTGTCTATATCAACAATTGCGTAATACGTGTAACAGCCATTTTGTTTTATAACGCATTATATTCTTTAAACATTTATAACATTCCCAGGATGTATATTGATATCCTGAAGGCATGAAAGTTATTTTTTTTATAAATTAAATATTTCTATTTTTTTTTTTAAATTTCAAATGGCTATTGAAAACAAATAGACCAATGATTGAACTGAACTCATGGGTAATGGACATTACTAAATGGCTTCCAGGAACAATGTTTTTTTAATGTTTTATCAATTTCCATCCATGAAAGCCATTCATGACGTCTTCATGTTTCTACAGAGGAGTCAGGTAAGGCATGTTTATAATTGTAAACCCTGTAAACACGTATATAATTGTATAAACCCATTTCATATGAAAACAGTTCACTCTCCATTCCTTGAAGTAGACATGTATTATTAGTCAATGCAAATGTTCATATAATGTGTAACTGCTATTTGAGTTTTAAAATATTTATGTTTACTTTCTAACATACACTTCTAACGTGACTCCACTGTACTAACAAAAAACAAAACAAAGAATATAACAGAAGTTCATTCAATGAGTAATTAGTTACCTACACTTGTATTAAATTTTAAACACTGAGGATGCTTTGTAGTCCTCAAAGTGCAAAGTGGTAAATAAGGCATCTTAACCTTTTCACCACCACACTTTCTCAGCCAAATTATTCTGTACTTTTTATTATATTCTTCAATATTTCTGAAAATAAATCCTAATTTAGAAGCCAACTAAAAAAAAGTCAATTTTGAGTTAGTTTTTAATTTGGCTATTTTTGTCCCAATCTTCTGAAGGAAGTACGGAGAGTATACACAGGACTATTTTATGAATTTGTAATGAAAAGAGGGAACTGGTGGTGAAAAGGTTAAACAGGTGATTATTCCACAAGGTGACATCTGCCTGGAATTCAGCCAGCCACTTGGCAAAAAATAAGTCTATCATGAGATCAAGACAAGTAGGAAAAATCGTGTTTCTTGACCAATTGGCAAGGGACGCTGTTTGTTGTGGTAGTTTCATTTCTGTAGAAGGTGATTTTAGTAACATCAGGTTAAATTTCACATTTCCAAATTTTATGTCATGTGAATAAAATCCAATACAAATCTAAATTAGTTTTTGTTGAGAAGTCATAAACTATGTCATAGTTCACCATATATTCAGTTTAGCACCATATTGAATATGGGCATTATTTTCTGACCATATCTCTCTCAAGATGGAGAAAATTGCAAGCAAGAATAATATTTATTCAGTATTATCATGTACCACATTATAACAGACTTGGCAACAAAAATTGTCTTTCAACTCGCTTTCTGTAATTGAATTGAATTTCATCAATCGGCAAAGTATGACTACTGAATGAAAGATAACACGATAAAAAAATATAATATATAGTGGACATCATGGATTATTTATATTTATGACTATCCAAGTATCTGTCTCTGTGTCTGTCAGAGTCTCTGTGGACTCCTCTATCTCTAGAGCTCTCCCTGTATTTGTGATGACTTCCTCCATCTCTGTCCCTATTCCCATGCCTGTGATGACTCTCCTTATCTCTGTGCCTCTCTTCATCTCTATAATGGCGCTCCCTGTCTCTGGCGTCATTGTCTCTAGGACCCCCATCCCTGTCCCTGTCTCTGTTACTGTGATGATCTCTGTATCTATCCTTATCTCTAGCCATCTTTTTTTCATTGCTGTCTCTTCTCCGCGATTTCTGGTCATGTTCTGTGTCTTCTCTTCTCATCTTTCTATCCTGCTCAACATTATCTTTGGATCGTTTATATTTTTTCTGCTCATCTTCTTGACTTTTGTCTTCATCTCTTTCTTTTCTCCTTTTTTTATCTTTGCTATATTTTGATAATGATGATTCAACAATTGTGTCTCTTGACTTAAGTTCCCTCTTTTTCTTCTTTGCCTTCTTTTCTTTGTGTTTGTCTAGAAAATCAGAATTTTAAAAAAACGATGCATTTGTAACTCAACGCAATCAAGAAATAAATGCTGGTGTACCTGGATGACGTAATATTGTTGGAATTTCAGTTGGAAAAGTCAATGCTGAAGATCAGAGATGAAATCTGTTCTTTATACTGATGAACTAACTTCCATAATAATAGATGCTCAACTAAATACCCTGTGACAAAAGCATGAGGAGATAATAAATAGAGGATCTTAAATAGCGGCTGTGTGATAAATATACCGGGTAATAATTCTTATAATGATCTGAGCCTTTCTCCATGTATCCACTTTGCAGTTTTTGTCGTCATTAATTGGAAAATTACATTCTGTGACGATGTCAAAGGATTCTTGGCATGTTCTTTATTCCTTTGCATATAAAAATGTTGTTCCTTGAAAAAGCGCAGTTTACAAACAATTTATAGCAATTGCTAATCAAAGAAAACTTAGAAAGAACTCCCGTGTTCTGAGAATATTGGAGACACATTAAAATTAATTAAAACTTGCCTCTTAAACGAAAAGCTTGGCAACTAGTTTTTGTCTGCTATTTGAGATGCAAAACATGTAATTCAAATTATCAAAATTTATAATACATACAGAAAATACATTTGAGATCGAAAGAATTCAAAATTACTATAACACAAAATAGACTGTGGTGAATGTTAAAATCATTAAATAAGCCATGTTTTAGTATCTTTGGTGATGACGTTACAATTTAGATTTGAATGCATCGACCAATCGGATCATCAATAGCCTATTGGATATCAGGGTGGGATATCAAAAGTATCCAATGGTTATATCACATGATACATGGGATAAATGCAAATACTTTCAATATGTAAACTTGTTATTCCACTACAACAACAAACTGGTCCTACCTATTCGTAAGTCATCGTCAAAGACATATGTTTGATGATATCTGTGAAGTTTGAACTTAAATGGTCCAAGCCTGTGTGAAATACTGCTAGATATGGATACACACACACAAAACCAAAATGATACACATCGAATGGATATACACATACATAACAAATTCAACAGATCTTGGAGGCTTACAAAGCAAAGTGGCTGCTCTGCTAAGTAGGAAACTCCATGCATACTCATTTTGGAATTTATTTGAACAGAAACAAACAATTAAAATGACTGAACATATTACCTTTTTTCACTGTTTTAGTGTGTAATTCTTCTTCTTCATCTTCCGAAGATGGTGATGATGGAGGAGGCGTTTTTGGTGCACATCCTTCCATTCTAATCTTCTTTGTCAGATCATCTAAAGTATCATCGTCTTTCGGTTTGCGATAATCTGCCACATGGTCAACTCGCAATATACGACCCAGTAGCTGTAATCACACAAACCAATTGAATTGGTTAACAAGAGAGCTTTCTTTTCACTAACTTGCTCAGTCCATCGCATCACAAACCAAGCAGTTACCAGTAGATTGGAAAGATTATCAGATACTAAGTACGTAGTTGCATCACTGCACTTTCTTAAAGCATTCATGTAATTAACTCATATATCGGTAATTAGTGCATACCCTTGTGTATTTTTGTGAAAATTTTTGGTAGAATCTTGTAAACCAATTTTATTTTACTAAGTACATTTAAAAAAAATATGGTTTACATTTTTTGGTGGCCATCTTGGTATGTTGGCGGCCATCTTGAAATATGTCACCCGAAAACCACATTTTCCTCAAAATTTCATATTTGATTTCCATATTACTTTGTAATAATCCATGTTTCTCAAAGCTGTATGAATTCTTGGTTAATGCACATGGATAAAAATAATTCAATATGGCTGCCATATCCAGGTATGATACTATTGCAAAATTTAATCAGCCAACTATCATAGACCATTTCAGGTTGGTAGATTTGTGTCTACCATAGTAAAACCACTTGACTTCAACCATACTAAAATCACTTTCTATATCATGAAATTACATACAAATGTTATTGCGATTCAGCATGCCAATTTCTGTTATATCACAGATTCAAGATGGCTGTAAAATTCAAAATGGCTGTACATTTGGAATTACAACATAATAATATAGTATGTTACTATTTCATATAAAAGTATAAAAAGTATATGGCTGTGTAATGATATTACTTTATTTAGTCAATCTTCTTCTGTCTCTGAAGCAAATTCAGAGTCTTGTGTTACTTGTGTATTTTTTTTACACTTTTCATAGTTGGCTTCACACATGCACATTTCAGTGCAATTGACATCGTTCTGTCTACACGTGGCGTCCATGACATTGTCATGCCACTTTTGACTAACTGAACTAGTGATTCTGGTGCTGAAGGAAGTCTTGTCAGGACTGGCATCAGTTCATTATTTGGCTCATGTGACCAACCTAACACAGTGGCTTCAAGTTTCTGTGGTTTAGCAACAAGAACCTGCTGCCAAATCCTACATTGCAGGTGTGCTCTTCATGTATGTTCATGAATGGCACCTTGTGTTGGTGGAAGTTTTTCAGTCCCCTGATAAGCCTTCAGTGCCAGAAAGTGAGACCATCTTGCATCCTTTGCCTGTGTATGTGAGGACTTCTTTGTTTTATACAGCTAACATACAAGCTCTTTGCATCCTTTAAGTACCATTTCACTGGGTTCATCGTCAATACCTAAGACAGAGAGGGCACTGCTGACATTGTCACTAGCTGTAAGGAAGGCATTCCACAATGTATTTTTGCTTTTGCCATGAATGTGACCAGTGGTGTCTCAACCACTGATTGCATGTAGACCTCTCAATGCTGCTACTTTGCATCTCCCAAGAGCATTGTAGATAGGCTTTAGTCTTACAAGGTGACGTTTTTCACCTGTTCCCATGATCAATGATGCTTCTGAACCCAAGCTGGGCTGTGTAGATATTGTTAGAACCATCACATCCGTAACTGAGGAATAGATGTGAACATTTAACCCAGAGCCACAAACCTCGGCAGCATAAAGTATAAGTAAGGTATCTGCCTCTTCCTGAGTGCTCTGGACCTCTACAATATCTGATTTTTGCTGATTTGAATAGACACCTTGACATGTCAACGAAGTAACTAACGAATTGAAGTGCTCTTTCAGCAAGGTACAAGGTTAACTGCTCCTTTGTTTTAGTACTACTGAGAAAAGTGCCAAAATCTATTATAGAAGTTGTGTCTTCTACTTTGTAACATGGCTGCTGTTGCAACTTTCCTTTTGTGCGAAGCTTTCTGGTTGCATCCTTCAGAGAAGTCTGAACAATGTAGTCATCAAATACAAGGTATGTGCATATATATCCTTGCGACTTCCTATCTATTGCTTTAACAAACTGTTTGGCAAGGTCATTACAGTTATTGATGACCGATTTAAAAACCACCAGTTCCTGAACTACTGCCATTGCATCAAACAGAATACATGTCTGGTCAGGAATCTCTGTACTTGTGCTATTAGATACTGAATTTGCTATTGGTTCTGCTACTAAACGCTTCAACTGGTGCATGAGTTGTGCTTTGTCTTGACATGGATGTAGTCTACCATCACATGTCATTAACTGCTGATTGGTGGTGGATAACTTGTATGTTCTAATTACTTCTTTCATGTCAAGTTCTCTTGAGGACCTCGCAATTATTAGAAGACGTGCCATGAGTGAGTTGGATGCCCGTAGACTTGTCTGTTTCATCGCTGTATTGGTTTTTAATGGCTTACAACCAGCACTCCACCCAAGAACTTTTACCTTGCTCATATTTTCCCGCAGATTTTTATTTCCACAAATCCGTTCTTCAACAAACAATCTGTAAGCCCTTTCTTCACGAGATTCTGTTCCAAGTATGTTTTCTGCTACAATGTCAGGAAGTATGACTTTTGTCATCAAATTGAACAACTTAAGTTCAGTTCCATCATCTGAATCACCCACTCTGAATGGATTGGAGTTTGATAGCACTTTTTTAAGGTCATGCATATACTTCTCTTGTTGGTTTAATTTAGTGTCTGTCATTTGGTGGTGTGAAGTTCTTGTAAACTTTGTCACTCCTAACATGTTCTCCAACTCAGTGGATAGTCTTGTTAATTCAGGAGCACTTAGGCAATACCTAAGTAGAGCTTCAGGGTTTGTGGTTATTCTAGATACTCCTCCATCACCTTTGTTGACATATTCTGCGCTTGGTCCACTCCAATAGCTGTAAATGCTACAGGGTTGGTCTTCACAGTGAAGTTGCCCTGGGCAAAGTCATCCAAGATCCATTTATTTGAATATTGAGTTGGATCCAGGTAGGCAACTTTAATAACTCTTTTGTATAGATCCATATCAAGCCAAACACACAGTGGTTTATGGGAAACATTACTTCTGACAAGCTCATTCAGTTCGTGTAGCTGTAAGAGTGAGGTAGTAAAAGTCTACCATTCATGGGCTGGTGCATTAATAAGAGGTAAAGCGTGTACCTGGTCAAGTGTTTTCTGATTATCTGATATTGAATCTGCATTGATTGAGTTGTAAGCAGCCCACACAGGTATAAATTGTTTTGCTGGGGTAGCTTCCTGGGTGGCTTCCTGCGCCATGATCTGGAGGCCAGTATCTCCACTGACATTTGACTGTGCTACTGCTGTAGTTTCTGTATTGCCGTCTGGGTGTTCCATGGTCTGTGTTTCTGCACTGATACTTGACTGTGTTGGTAAGAGAGCATATCCAACTCATGTATACTAGATACGCATTGGGTAGCTTTGCTGGTGGATGCCTGCTCATTAGTATGTGTGTACTGATACATGACTGTGTACAACTGTAGTTTCTTCAGTGGTGGGTGGTTGTCCATGATCACAGTGTCTGTACTGATACATTTGTGTACAGAAGAATCGTGCCAACAACCAAGCAGTGATACAATGTTGTGACTCCAGTAGCTTATCGAGATGTTGGAAAACTTGAAATTCAGTATAATGCTTTGGGTTTAGGTGCTCCGATAATATTACATGACAATAACTCTACACCAGTTAGAGGTGAATTACATTAGCACGTAATACTGTCTGGGGGTACATTATGTCCCTGTATTATCCATCTCAGTAATATGTCAAGCTCAGACGGTCCATTTGTTGCTGCTAGTGAACCACTAAATGTCCATGTCTTGGCTTGTTCGATGGTCCTGCGCACAATTTGTGCACATTGAAATATTACTTGCACCTCTTCAATGCCATTCTTGTGTGCTGCAGCATCTACTGCTGCAACTTGTGCTGCTCTTGAGTGAATCATTGTCGGCCAAGACCTAACTTTTGGACGTGTGAATTCTACATTCTCAGTTTCTATGGCAGCCATTTTGAATTTGGTAGCCATTTTGAATTTTCACTGCCATTTTTAGTTATATCTCATCAATGTAAATTGACATAGTATTGAAGTAGAATTGAAAAAACATAAATTATTACGAAAAAGGGTGGTAAAATAATGAGCAATATGTGTTTTTTATGTCAAATTCAAAATGGCTGCCACAAATCCAAGATGGCGTCCAAAAAAATGTAAATCATATTTTTTTATAATTTTATGATGTACTAAATGCAAAAAAATTGATTTGCAAGATTCTACCCAAATTTTTCACGGGATTCGTTATTGTGACACAAGGGTATGCACTAAATATAATAACATAGGTATACAACAGGGATATCTATGTATGGTTCTAGATGATATAACAATGATTTATAACAAAAATAAGAATACCTAAATAGATCCATATTCAATGATATTGGGAACTCATTTCAGTGTACACTATGAACATATGATTACATAAACTGAAATGCAACTAATATAATGTTTGAAGTAATACTTGATATTATTACGATCCTTTTTAACATAATTTAACATCCATCAAACATACATCATTCTGAGCTAAGAGCCAGGGTTTGTAATAACTGCAATATTTTTTTACCTTAGTGCCATTAAAATTATCCACAGCAAGAACTGTACTTCTTTGGTCCTCATAACAAATAAAACAGAAGCCTTTCGTCTTGCCAGTCTTTTTGTCGCGTACTAGGTTTATGTTGGCAATTTCCCCATACCTACAATTGGATGATTCTTACATTTAAACATTTCCTGATACAGAATTTTCACTTCACCTTTTGCTTTATTAAAATCAAATAGGGATAAATAGAACGATTTCAGGCACAATCATGAGCACACAATAGTTTTCCTAAATAACTATTTCAACATGCATGTAAAGTGGCAAGTGAAAATGTTAAAAAAAAAAGAAAAAAGCTTCATATTTAACTATAAACCA